TTTTTAATCAAAACCTATCAGTGTGGAATATTTTGTTTGTTTTGATCTTTTGTTTTTATTTTAAGATTACCTTCCATCTTTACTAATGTGTATGCTCGCAGGATATCTATGTGCACCTTTAGTGACTCATTTCCTTGGATATGTGTGTTCCCTCCAATACATCCTACAAAACCTCAGCTGATATTCGAAAATTTTCCGACAAAAATTTGGCATTCTCTATTCTGACTACTCCTTCCTTTGACTATATTATTTTCCTTTGAAGCATCCTTTCTAATGCTTTGATGGTGAGAACTATGTCCAGCTTTTTTGGGAGAAGAAAGTCACTTAATGATTAGGAACTAATCTGAAAATTACTTCTTCTTAGGCTGAGATACAAGCACTAAAATCAGAAAATCTCAACTCAAAGTAGGAAGGGTGTTGTTCTGATGAATATTTTCACATCCAGTTAAATGTAGGCCATGTAGTCATACAATTATACATGTGCGGATAGACAGATGATAGATTTGTTTAATTTGGTTTGTCAGGTTTTTAAAAATTCTTTTCCATATTTCCCTCTGTTCTTAATTATTCTTTCAGAGCATATGGTCCTTTTATAAACTCTATGAAAAGAAATAATGACTGAGAAATTTGGTAACAGTGTTTATTCTGTCATGTCTTGAAGGATCATAATTCATAATCACATAATAAAAGCTCCAATAAAGTCAGCAGTAAATAGATTTAAACTTTGCATTCTAGAGTTTTTCAAACACTCTTTAATGTTTTTCTCTTATTGACTGGGATACTCTTCAAATCCTCCAAATTTAGTGTCCTAGGTAGCTGAGGAACAACAACAAGAACAACAAAAACAAACATACACACATTATATTTTTGTCATTCAAATCAGAAAACTTTAAAAAATCATATTAATTATAAGGTTGCAACACCTTATTAAACAGCACAAAAAGTGTAATTATGACAATGTATGGCGTTTTAACACTGAGATATAAACTCACCCAAAATAAAATGTATGCAATAGTTCTTCACAATGGATAACAAAACGTGGCAGTAAGATTTGCCAAGATTTTTACTTCTAGATACTATGTAACAAATGGCAACAACATCATTTAGAGAGTGAGGTATTCTATTGCTTTGGTGTAAACCATTGGCCCATTAATTTGGTGTCAATTAGTGTTTTTAAAATTTGGTAGAATTATGGGCCTATGGAGAGGGGTGTAGAGAAGGAACTATTTCAAGGGAAATAATTTTTTAAATTATTTCTTTCAAGAGCTTACTAATAAATCACCTTAAAGTATGCATCTGAAGACAACTATTAATTGTTTCTGCCTTATGTTAGTAATTCATTGTCTGGTTCTTCCCACTGGAATATAAACTCCATCAGGGCAGATTATTTTTTCTGTTATATTTATAACAATATTCTTAGTGCTGAGACTATTCATGGTAGATAATTGGCTTATAGTAAATACTTGTTGAATCAATGAATTATTGCTATAAAGTAATAATTATTTGTTATTTACAGTCTTCAAGCCTTTTTGACCTTTTTTGTCCAGGCTTTCCTAGTCACCCTTTCCCAAATTGAATACCCTGTAGCTTTGGAGTTGTACTCAGTGAACTGCAGATTTAAGGTAGTATTTCTGAAACTATGGTCTGAAATCATTTGCATGAAATCACCAGAACATTTGGTTTTAAAATGCCCACTTCATACCTACTATATCATACTCTTTGGTGCTCAGGCACAAGAATATGATAAAAAGTACCCTCAAGTGATTCTTTTTTTTTTTTTTTAAGATTTTATTTATTTGTTTGATAGAGAGAGAATGAGAGTGCACATGAGAGGGGGGGAGGGTCAGAGGGAGAAGCAGACTCCCTGCCGATGCGGAATTTGATCCAAGGACTCCAGGATCATGACCTGAGCCGAAGGCAGTCGCTTAACCAACTGAGGCACCCAGGCACCCTACCCTCAAGTGATTCTTAAGCACATGAAAACCTGAGAGCCACAGCCTCTGGCAACCCAGCAGGACTTAAAGGAATTCCACTCAAGTGCCTCTTTTTTGTCCCTTCAAGTGAAGAGGGTTCCCTTGTACATAACACAGGCTTTTAGAGTAATGAAAGGACAGTGTTGGGCACTTAAGTAACATTTGGCTATATTGAATGAGTGATTACTTGTGAATCTGAAATCAGACTCCTGGGTAACTTTCATTAAAATCTTCTTTTAATAATAATATATGTACAAAATTAATGATCAAAAATATTACTTTGCCTATTATTTCAAATGAGAGGCATATGCAAAAATTGGCATCACTTTCAAACTGCTTAACAAGCGAGTTCTTATTGCTTCACACATATGCTTACATTAAAAGTATATAAAATTATTAAAAATAATTTTATTATTGGTCTATCTTTGAATGTGTCTATCAGCAAATAAATCTAGTAGGAAAGTAGTTAAGACTTGTTTTGTGAGGGGCACCTGGGTGGCTCAGTTGGTTAAGCGACTGCCTTTAGCTCAGGTCATGATCCTGGAGTCACAGGATCGAGTCCCGCATCGGGCTCCCTGCTCGGCAGGGAGTCTGCTTCTTCCTCTGACCCTCCTCCCTCTCATGCTCTCTGTCTCTCATTCTCTCTCTCTCAAATAAATAAATAAAATCTTTTTTTTAAAAAAAGACTTGTTTTGTGAGATATATACCTATATTATATACTTATGTCCCTCTCTACACTTCTATAATTTTCACTGCACAAACATGTATATGTGATATGGACAATGGAAGCCAGAAAACAGCTTTACAGTACCCTGACCATATCCCACTGAAGGCCATTAGCTGAAGTTCAAGTTTCTGTCATCTAAGGCCAAGATTATCACCTTTAGCACTATTGACATTTAGGGCCAGTTAATTCTAGTTTAGAGTGGGTGTGGGTGACTGTCTTGTGCATTGAAGGGTATTTAGCAGCATCTTCAACATGTTCTCACTAGATGCCAGTAGAAAACTTCCCAAGTTATGACGTTTAAAAATGTCTTCAGACATTTCCCAGTGTCCCATGGAGGGCAAAATCACCGCAGTTGAAATCTACTGATCTAAAAGGATCTGAATGGAACTGTATACTCCCAGGATATCATCTTGAGTGACATTAAACCAACTGATGGGAGCTTATGTTACCTTATAATATTAAACCTGATTAGTCAAGCCCGAATTATTTGTGCATGAAGTTCCACCAATTGAGTTAAGTATTAATTTACTTGATTCCACCTATTAAGATATATGAGATCTAGGACCATATCTTCACATCACCAATTTAACTGGGAAGGTGGTTGTTATCCTGTGAACATATTTTGTACTCTTAGCCAAGACAGACAATGCTACAAGAACAAAAGTTGTTCATCATCATTATAAATGTTAAAGTGATCTGAATATACTACCTATACGTTATTTCATTTAATTATATAATAACTGGCAATGGCAGTGAGGCAGTGGCTGTAAGCCAGCAGGTCCTTGGAGAATTGGCATAATAACTGTCATCAAGTTGGCCTCAATACCAGAGGTTTACGAATTAATGGTCGAAGGGCACTTTTTATATTGTCATGGGGCAGTAGCTACCGTTAAACAGAATTGCAGTGCAAGTAATACCAGTCACAAGTTCCTGGGATGCTGCCATAATATCAAAATCGACGCGATGATTGTCCCTATAAATGCTTCCAAAGGCCATGTGCAGGATGATTATGGTAGTATATTCTAGCAGCTGCCAAACAGTAAACTCAAGTATGAAATCTCTGTATTTAAAAAATATCTTTATGATGAGCACCGGGTGTTGTATGTACGTGTTGAATCAGTAAGTGATACATCTGAAACTAATATTACACTGTATGTTCACTAACTGGAATTTAAATAAAAACTTAAAAAAATATATCTTTATGAAATGAAGCTTAGCGTAGAAATGTTAGCAAAGCCATTCTGTTCCAATCTGAGATGTTATAAACTGGCTAGTTCTTCTTTGAGGTTAAACAATATTCAGATTATGAAGTTAAGTATCACAGCAACAAAAGCAATATTTGACAAAAACAAAGATAATAGCTAATCATAGACTAGTCTCTCTATGTATATGACACAAAAAAATTTAAAAAAATTTATAAAGCAAAGATTCAGAATTAAAGCCAAACTATGAACAACATAATATTAATACATATTCTGTTGATTTGAACCTTAATTTTTGGCTGGAAATTTTTTAAATAGTAACTTCCGTGAAGATTAATCTTGATAGAAATCTATATCTTTACTGAAAAGTGAAAAGTCAGAAAATGAAGATAAAAGACCTTAATAGTGTAGTCAAATATTTATATAAATTTTTTTATGTGCCTGGCCATCCTCTATAACATAGAAAAAATTTCAAAACTTATTTGGATAATTTTATGGAGTTATTAACATTTATTATCATGTAGGTGTTAAAAGTAGGGGAAAGACACAGTGTAACATAAAAGAGAGAGAGATTAGAAAACTGAGGTATGTATTTTGACACCATTTGTATAGAGATTTAATTTGATTCAATTTTTTGGCTTCATTTCTTCATTTGTAAAATTGTTTTTTGGGGGGGGAGGAGTAAATAACACAATGCATCTAAAGAATTTACTCTAAAGTCTGATATATCATAAACATAAATACATAATTTATGCTAATTCCTATCCTTCCTTCCCTTCAAATAAGAACATGCAGTCTTACTATGTCCTGCTACATTTCACTGACCTAAAAACTGATGTGGCAAGACCTTGCTGAGAGGTATAAGTGTCTACTACTGTATCTGACATGTAGGTATTCAATAAGTCTGATCAGAAATAAATGAATATATTTTGGCAAAATAGGTAAAATTTAATAGCCAGAAAGAGTGTTCACAGATTTAATACACAATTATTATAGCAACTTTTTGGGCACAAACTATACATCCTTCAAAAAGAATGAGCTATTCAAAATTCAGAATATTCTCTGATGTAGAGATTTTCATATTTCTCTTTTTTACAGATGAGGAAACTGAAGCCAAAACTTGCCCAATACCTTACATTTAACATATGGGAACCTAGGATTTAAACCCAGGTAGGAGAATTCACACTCTTATCTACTATGACACAGTACTCTCTATTCAAATTTTAGAGATAACAATTCCTTCTAGTATTGGTAAGAGAACATTGCAAGCATATTTAGTATCAATTATATCTCCCTAAATATTAAGTCACAAATATGGGTCTTTTCTCACTCACTGTCACTTGATTTAGACAGATAATAAAAGATATGGCATCCTGAGAAGTGTTTTTTGAGTTTATCATATGATCGAGTAAAACATTGATTTCTATTCTCTATTGTTGAAGAATTTGGATATAGAACCCACTGGAATTGTTAGTTGGTTCTCAATGAATGCATCACAAGCATTTCTGTGATACCCAATTGAATAGACATATTGGCATCATATTGACATAAATATAGCGACTAGGTGATGAAGCTCTAAGTAGTGATGTCTCCTGTGTTGCAATGATTAACTGACTTGTTTCTATACTGCCTACAATGTAGACCTTTGCACTTAGCAAAAATTGCTTTGGAAGAAGATCCTTCCTTTAACATTGGGATTGTGTAGTCACTACTTGACATCAAAATTCTTTCGATGTTGATTAATGTCCAATACCCAACACAATACCAGGAAATACATAAAGAATATTAAATCTTAAAAATGCTTTCAAGTAATAAATTCTTAATTGATTGATAAATTTAAAGTAGCACTGGGGAAAGTCACTTTATATAGATTTGACAAATGTTTATTCCACAAAAAGCAGATGTAACTATATTAAAAATCTAAGGAAGTGTAAGATTTTTGCTTTTCTTTTAAAATTCATGTTTGTTTGTTTGTTTGTTTAATTCTGATGTATTTATGTAAGATCATTGTTCTGTTCCACAAGGACTCACATTTGTCTTTCAGTTAAAACAGTTATTTATGGAAGATAGTGTGTTAGAGTCAGTTAGCTTGAGTTAACAAGTTTTATTTGTCCATTCCTATGTTAATACCATATAGACTTACTGACTCTTTAAAAAAATTGTTTTGGTCCTTTGTACTTTCATATACATTTCAGTATTACGTTGTCAAATTCCTCCTGTTAAGATTTTTTCATTTAATTTTATTGAATGTATGGGTCAATTTGAGATTGTCACTTTCAGATTATTGAATCTTCCAGTTCTTGAACATGACTTTTCTCTCCATTTATTTTGATTGTACATTCTCTAATAGATATATTCTTGATTTCCTTTATAATTTTTTTTTTATTTATTTGAGACAGAGAGAACGAGAGAGAGAGAGCACATGAGGGGGGGAGGGTCAGAGGCAGAAGCAGGCTCCCTGCCGAGCAGGGAGCCCGATCCTTTATAATTTTTATTATAAATATAATTGATAGTTTTATATTACTTTTTCACATTCCTTGTACCTGGTCTTTATAAATATAATTGATTTTATGTATTTAGTTTACATCCAACAACTTTGCTAAAAGTCATTAAATATAATTCATCTGTAGATGCCACAATATCAGCTATGAAAATTTATTAACACAAGCATATTATACATATTATATATGTGTATAACATCCATAGACCACATGCATTCATAGGCATCATATATTGTGAATATCTGTGATTTTGCTTAACTTTTCCTTCATTTGTTAACATGTTACAATAAAACATCATGACATATTCTTAGTTTCAAGAATAATGACTAATATTAATATTCAAATAATGCTGTACGAGATCATAATGAGGAAAGAATTTTAGTATGCTGTGTTAGTTGAAGATGACTTAATGGAGGAATTTATACTACAGAGATGTGTTTGAAAAGAAAGAATGGGGCGCCTGGGTGGCTCAGTCGTTAAGCGTCTGCCTTCGGCTCAGGTCATGATCCCAGGGTCCTGGGATCGAGCCCTGCATCGGGCTCCCTGCTCAGCGGGAAGCCTGCTTCTCCCTCTCCCACTCCCCCTGCCTGTGTTCCCTCTCTCGCTGTGTCTCTCTCTGTCAAATAAATAAATAAAATCTTTAAAAATAAAAAAAATAAAATAAAATAAAAAAAGAAAAGAAAGGATAAGGTAAATAAATAAATAAAATCTTAAAGAAAGGGGGGAGCTCCTGGTTAGCTCAATCTATTCAGTATATGCCTTTGGTTCAGGTCATGATCCCAGAATTATGGGATCGAGCCCTGCGTCGAGTTCCCTGCTCCTGGGAAGCCTGCTTTCCCTCTCTTCCCTGCTCATGCTCTCTCTCACAATCTCTCTCTTTCTCAAATAAATAATTAAATAAATAAAATCTTTAAAAAAAGGAATGGATAAAAAAAGAAGATAGTAGGAAGGGAAAAATGAACGGGGGGAATAGGAGGGGGAGACGAACCATGAGAGACTATAGACTCTGAGAAACAAACTGAGGATTCTAGAGGGGAGGGGGGTGGGGGATGGGTTAGCCTGGTGATGGGTATTAAAGAAGGCACGTACTGAATGGAGCACTGGGTGTTATATGCAAACAATGAATCATGGAACACTACATCAAAAACTAATGATGTAATATATGGTGATTAACATAACATAATAAAAATATTTAACAAAGGGCGCCTGGGTGGCTCAGTTGGTTAAGCGACTGCCTTCAGCTCAGGTCATGATCCCGGGGTCCTGGGATCGAGTCCCGCATTGAGCTCCCTGCTCTGCGGGGAGCCTGCTTCTCCCTCTCCCAATCCCCCTGCTTGTGTTCCCTCTCTCGCTGTGTCTCTCTCTGTCAAAGAAATAAATAAAATCTTTAAAAAAAAATATTTAAAAAAATGGAATGGATAAGGTATTCAAGAGAAGTAAAAAAATATAAGCATATTCTTGTATATATACACACACATTAATAGCATGAATACTCAGTGGCATATTATTTTGGTGGAATGGGGTGAATTCTGTGAACTTAAGTATAAAGTCCTGCCCAAATACATAATTGGAACTCAACTGAGAATTATTTATTATGAGAAATATAATTTCTTCCTTTTGTTTTTAACTAATTTGGAAAAATAAAGAATGAGAAAGTAGTTTTTGCAATGGTAAAATTTTACATAAGCTGAAGCTATTCCTTTGATAGACTCTAGTAATCTTATTCTCTGCTATTTCTAAAAGCAGTAGTAGAAGCAATAATATAAACTATATTGTTCCAGATTCCTTATTACTAGAGTCAAATTGTTAAGTAGATGCTTCAAATAGACAATTTTCCTGTTGCTATTTTAGTAATCTTAGTTTCCTGAAAACAACAACAAAATCATCTCAGAGCATAACTAATTTCAATATGTATAAGGTACAGACTAAAGCAGTATATTTCTATAAGTGTATGCTTTAGTTTAACTATAAATTTGCTCAATGACTATTATTGACCTGATAAATATTTCTCACATTAACCCAATATTAACAAACAGTAAAATGTAGTTAACAAAAGATGAGCCTAGAAAATAATTATGTAAGAAGGATGCAGAGACCCTAGTATTTTTGTTAAAGAAAAATAAATCATTCAATTTGGTGAGGAATTCTATTTCTTGAATAATGTATGATTTTGAACAAGCTGATGTTTTCTTAATGAAGTTTTTCAGTGTAAAATTATGTGGAAAAAATATATGGAACCAACCAAAAAAATAAGGGAGTAAGGACAATATTTGTTAATAAATTATTTCTTTTTTTTTTTTAAGATTTTATTTATTTGACAGAGAGAAACACAGAGAGGGAACACAAGCAGAGGGAGGGGGAGAGGGAGAAGCAGGCTTCCCGCCGAGCAGAGAGCCCGATGCGGGGCTCGATCCCAGGACCCTGGGATCATGACCTGAGCTGAAGGCAGATGCTTAATGACTGAGCCACCCAGGCGCCCCAATAAATTATTTCTATAATATATATCATTTTTATCAAAGTTTATAGAGAGAGTCTTTCTTTTTTTTTTTTTTTAAAGATTTTATTTATTTGACAGAGAGAGACACAGCGAGAGAGGGAACATAAGCAGGGGGAGTAGGAGAGGGAGAAGCAGGCTTCCTGTCGAGCAGACAGCCCGATGTGGGGATCCATCCCAGGACCCCAGGACCATGACCTGAGCCGAAGGCAGACACTTAACGACTGAGCCACCCAGGCGCCCCTAGAGAGAGTCTTTCATCCATCACTTGGGTAGAATTGAACATTGAACATTTATTAGGTGAATAGTGTAGTAAATATTAATTCCTGAAATAAGTCAAATGATTTGAGGGCACTTATTTTTAAAAAATGCAGCCATAACGATTACATAACCCTAAGCATTTGTCAAGGCTCTTAGTACTGTATACCCCCCCAAAAAAAAGTGAATTGTACTGAATGTAAATTTAAAAATAAAAATACATATAATGACCACAAAAAAAAATGCAGCCATAAAATGAAACAGTTGATAAAGAGTAATTGACCATATATGATTGTATTCTATGTGAACAAATAATAAAATTAAATTAAAATTCTTTTTAAAAGGACGGTTACTGTGGTTATTTCGAATTAATGTTTACAGTGCATGAATTGAAGCAAGTTTTTACTCAATATAAATTCTGTTTAAAGATTTTAGAATGACTAGTAATATTTGACTAATGTGTTCAACTAATAAATTACATAAGTGAAATAGAGGCACATGTATGAGGAGGAAAGATTATGTGAATTTAACTAGCTTTTTGCCATATGAATTTAAAAACTTCAAATAAATATTCAGAAAGTTAGTTAACAGACCTTAGCAAAAATGTATATCCTTTTGTTAGTCTGTAAATAATCAAGTGCTAGTTACCAACCCAAAGTCTACATAATAAATATGTATCCAAGAGTTGCCCATTTGTACAAAATGAGAATAGGGTCACTATAATTTTTGTTTGTCTGTGATATCTGTTGGTGGTTGTTTCATTTTTCTGATGTGGTTAAGTAAATTGCTGGTATACTTCAACAACAGTTATTCCTGAAGATTAAGAAATCTCATGACACCCAGAAATTTTAATTGGGTAAATCTATGTAGGATTTTTGGAATAAAAAATAATTGTCAGTAGGCTAGAAATTCTTGTA